AGAGAGAGAGAGAGAGAGAGAGAGAGAGAGAGAGAGAGAGAGAGAGAGAGAGAGAGAGAGAGCAAAACGGAAGAAGAATCCAAACACAAGATGGTTAAAACTTAAAACCCGACCCGGATGATGCTCTCTAAATCTTCTTTCACAAACAAAAGAGCCGCTGCATTTGTGCCAGAATGATTTTGGCAGGCATAACTTTTCTTTTGCCTAACGTTTTTCTCTTGTGCAGCGGCACTTACAGCACATCCATTAATCTTTTTCATATTTCTTTGTTGAAGGAGAGGAAGGCAAAAAGACTGCAACAGTGGGAACAATTAAAATCCTGTGCCCCCTCCCTCAGGCCACTGAGCTCTGGAAGGCCCCACCTGACTGCTACCCCATGTTGACGGACGCGGCGCCACAGGTAGCTGGCCGGTTAACTGGTGGTTTTATCAACACCGTTGTCTTTGATCATCATCTTTGTCCAGAAACAATTTACAACAGTGTATAGTCTACAAATACAAAGTCCATTTGCAAGCCGTAGAGCCCTGTAGTTGACATCTTTTGCATACACGACGTTTACACGCGCAAATTAAGCAACCCCACCGTGTCTGGTCAGTGAAAGGCAACAAAGAGAGTGATGTGGACAAGGAAGGCATTAAACCACCAGTACATCCAAGCCTCTTGTTCCCAGTGTGGATTGTTGCCCCATGCAGAGTCCTGCTGAACTGGTGCGGCAGCAATCCGCCTGGCAACACCAGTCTTTTTCATTTGCTAGACTGAGCCCCTAAGGACACGGCGGTGAGCACATCGCATCGGAACAAAATAACTGGGACATGTACTGGTATTTAACGACATGCTTCCGATTGGTAGGAACAACTCCCTTCCCCGAAATAACCCCCTCCTGTCCATACCCTGGTCATCAAACAACATCTCTGGCGTTTTGATATCGCTACGAGGAACAACTCCGCCCTTCCGTCTCTCAGAGTGTGCACTTCGCTCTGAAACCACCGCACCCTTCTCCACTAGTCCGCGGACAATCAAGCAGATTCCCAGCTTCTGTCGTTTGTCGCCCGGCCATGTGTCAAGTGCTGTCTCAAAGAACCTGACCAGTGCCATCCCATCCTGTGGATCAGCTTGCCTTCGCAACAGCCATTCAAAAAGCTGCAGCACACGTTTCCGATTGGTTGGATCCCTGCTTCGGACAACCTGCAGGCATAACCATGATATAGTCTCAGCTGCGATCCAACTAAATAACTGGGTTTTACTTGGCATTGCAGTTATTGTTATTACCAGTGTTGCATACCCCGACGGTCGGCGCCCCTTGACTGGTCGGCACCTACCGGTAGGGGGTCGTCGGCACCCCGCAAAAAAAAAAAAAAAAAAAAAAAAAAAAAAAAAAAAAAAAAATCCCCATACTTTTTTCCTGGGAGTCCATAACCCCCCAATAACCCCACCAACACTCCATACCCGCCCCCAATACCCCCATACAGTGGCATACACCCCCCCAACACCCCCATAGCCACCCCTTCCCCCAATAACCCCACCAACACCCTTATACCCCCTCCCAATATCCCCTATACAACCCCTATACCCCCCCCATACCCCCTCCTAACCCCCCCCATCCCCAAAAGTTTTTCAATGGATTTGGGCTGTACTCGGCAAACGCAGTACACCCCCCAACTCAGATTTGTGAAAAAATCAGTGGATGGCTGTTTTCTGACTGGTCAGCCCTACTGGTAGACTGCAAAACGGTCGGCGGACGGGGTCGGCAGTCGGCAGGTACGCAACCCTGGTTATTACTTCTTATTTGAAATTTATTTCATTACAGTTTCTTTACACAATCGTACCAAGCAAAGTCATGGTTATTGCTGCATATCTTTAGACTAGAAAAGCACATCTCATGAAGCAAATGAACGCATGACCACAACATCACCGAACCTGTGATCCAAGTTCCAGTAAACAACCCAGTTCCAGTCGGCATTGAAACTATTATTTTAGTCTATTTAACCTATCTTGTGATACTTTTATACAGTCGCACCACTCCCTCTTCATGGCCACCACCCTTTTCTTGGCTGATTGGGGCTGGATTCTGCAGATGGAAGGAAAAACCATGGCCATGCTGGATTGCCCATCCAATGGGGCGAATGAAAAATCAGATATCTCGTCACCATGCTGGCGACAATATTGGGGTCACTAAGGCACACCGATGTATCATACAAGACAGCCTGCCATAGCCACCACAGTAAGTCCAAAACTCAAATAGTTGTGCTGCTATTACCTGCCAACCTAGGCTACCAGGGTGGCCCCAGACCACTTGCCCGGCCGGGCCAAAAAAGAAGAAAATAATAATAATAATAATAATAATAATAATAATAATAATAATAATAAATAATTATTTTTTTTACTTTACTTTTTATTTTTTATCTGGTAAAGAATTTCGATGTGACCTTGAGGCAAAGCCGCAAAAGTTGTAGAGTTTATTTTTCTGCATAACATGTTTTCTTTTTAGAGTTTTTCGAATTTTTTTTAATTTTTTTTTTGGCTGGGACCTTCTTTTTTTTTGGCAGGGACCTTCTTTTTTTTGGCTGGGACAGAAATCGGCCTGGTCCAGAACTGAGATCGTCACAGACTACTTGTTTCGCAGGTTGCTGGAGAATTGGCAGCAACATCGCGGAAGAGTACCTCGTAACCCTACCATCTTCACCCAAAGTTGAAACACCCAGGCATTGTATTCAGTAAATTGATAGCGACTTAAGTGAGGCCCCAAAACTCGGGGAGGGGAAAAAAACAACGAAAAATCCTGTAAAAAAAGTGTGTTGTGGAGAATTGCAATGGGAGGAGGGCTATGCCTTGGTGCTTGGAGTGCAGTTCTGTGTTCTGAGAAGATGCTGCTAACCCAGCCGTGATTCAGTGTAAAGCCCGTTTGCAGCGGCCTGGAATGTTACCAGGTGACAACAACATATGCATAGTATTGCATGAGCACTAAAACGTTACAGCGGAGGGAGATAAGATGAGAAGATGTTGCTGCGGCGGGTAAGATACTGTTAACCCAGCCGTGATTTGTAGTCACCTGAAATGTTACCGGTTACCGGGTCACAGCAACACATGCATGCATACTAAAACGTTATGGTGAAAGGACATGACATGAGAAGCTGTTGTGGAAGGGGAGGTGGGCTATGCTATGTTGTTGTGGCAGGAAATATGTTGTTAGCCTAGCCGTGATTTGTAGCGAACTGAAAAGTTACCGGGTCACAACAACATATGCACACATACAAAAACGTTATGGCAAGGGAAGATGACATGAGACGGCGGTGTGGCAGAGGAGGTGGGCTACACACACTCTTCCCCCCACAACAACATATGCACACATACAAAAACGTTATGGCAAGGGAAGATGACATGAGACGGCGGTGTGGCAGGGGAGGTGGGCTACGCACACTCTTCCCCCCCGCCAAATGTTATGTTAAGTATCTTTGTAATGACCTGCCAAACATGGACTGAGACACACAGATGATGTCAGAGTTTTGCTCATGGAATGTATGCCTTACTGTCCCGCTTGTTGCTGAGTTTTCTAAGTCTGTGTGGGTGTGTGCTTGCTGATCTGCATGCCTGTCTGAGTGCCTGTCGGCTTGAGTGAGTGTGTGACCCGCAAGGGCACTTGTTTGTTCGGAAGGCCCAAAGGGCCGGTACTTACCTGTGGCCGTGACATTGAGTGTTGCAGCGGGGAAACACTCAAGTGGTGGGGAAAGAGGCCTGCGACACGTAGAGCAGTGGAAAACACTCAAGTAGCGGGTAGGCTGGTACCACACCATGTAGAGGTAGATGTGCCGGGTACTTGGGGCCGAGCAGAAGAAGACAAAAGTTGGCATTTTTAGGGGCCCAGTAGTTGTAGGCTAGGTCTAGGCGGGTACAAGTCCAACCAGTCTGAGTCTAGAGCCTGTACAGGCAATATCAGAGTCTGCAATGATGTTTCCCTCCGAAGGGGAGGAGGTACCAGTTGCTTGGAGGCCATGCGGCCTAGGAAGTCACTAGCCAAGAGGCAAGCAGGCCGCTATATCTTCAGGAGGAGCAAGGTGCTCCTCCTCATTGTCGGTGTGCAAGTTTGGCGACACACTGGTTGGAGCGCTAGCATCAGAGCAGTGCTGCTGGGGAGGAGCAAGGACAGGAAGAGGAAGAAGACCAGGACTAGGAGGGAGGAGCGCCAGAGGTACTTACCTGGCTATGGTGGATACCATCTTCATCACCTTGGTGGGCGCTGCATTTGGAAGGCCCCCGTTGGGGTAGAGCTGCACCAAGAAGCTTCGAGGCAGAGTCAGGCATGGCGGCCTGAGCTAGAGCAGCCATAGCTGCTTTGTGTTGTCCTTTGCACAGCAGGGTGGTGCCCTGGTAGTCCGCCATAGCCTCAGCCGTGAGAAGAGGAGGAAGAAGGGTGGCCATGGCTATGGTGGACCTCATGTGATGCCTGCAGTAGAAGAGGGATTCGGACATTGATTCTGGTTCAGCCATTCAACATCATTATTATTATTTCTTGTTTGAATAAGAGAGGCGGAGATAAGGAGGGGGAGAGTGGTTGGCGAAGAAGAAGAGCATTACCATTGGTCTATGCTGGTGAACATGAACTTCTTTTTCTTCTTCTACTTTCCCTCTCTCCTCTCAAGTTCATTCATTTCTTTTTGCAATTGGACGGCATTGTACTGTCTGATGAATGTGTACTTCGAAATTGGCCAGGACCATACCCTCACCAAGGACAAATGGTGTGAGAAGACATCAATGTGGCAGGGTGAGGCCCACCCCTGAACTGTTCAGTTCACTATTATGTTTCTTCCCCGCTGAATGCCTATGTGCTCTCTGAGCGCAGTTGCCCTCAAGAGATTCACAAGACACACACGGTTGTGCCAACTTTTGTGCTTTTTACAGTTCTCTCATATATGAAGCATCCATCGATGACATCTGAACGTGAACAAGGGGTTCGACATTCATGCATGTCACCAACGGGAGGTGACTTGAGAAGGTGTAGTTCGGTCTGGGGAGGGAGGGTATGCCCTCACGCTCAGGCACCCTCAGGTGACTTGAGAAGGTGTTTTTGAGAATGCATTGAGTGGCTCCACACACACCCCTTCCCCCCAACTGTTCTGTTTAGTATCTCTTCTGATTTTTGAATGCCAATCCCCTTGCAAAGGAGAAATGACTTGTGAAGATGTTGTTGTGCGGGAGGGCTCAGCTGTTCTGTTTACCTCTTGTGTTTTTTGAATGTCAATACCCTTGCCAAGGGGACATGATGTGCGAAGATGTTGTTGTGGTGGGGAGGGGGGCTGGGCACCCTCAATTGTTCTGTTCAGTATCTCTTGTGTTTTTCGAACACTAATCCCATTTCCAAGGAGAAATGACGTGAGACGATTTTCTTGTCGGGGGAACCCACCAACCCCACAACCCTGCCCCTCCCTCAACTGTTCAGTTTACTCTTGTTGTGGTGGGGAGGGGGGCTGGCCACCCTCAACTATTCTGTTTAGTATCTCTTGTGTTTTTTTAATCCCCTTTCCAAGTAGAAATCATGTGAGACGATGTTGTTGTCAGGGGGAGCCCCCCCAACCCCTCAACCCTGCCCCTCCCTCAACTGTTCAGTTCACTATTATGTTTCTTCCCCGCTCAATACCTGTGTGCTTGCCAAGTGCACTTGCACTCCATGAATTCATAAGACACACATGCTTGTGCCATTTTTTGTGTTAAAGTGTGAATTGTCCCTAAATGACGTTTGAATGTCGGCAACGGTCTGGCATTCATTCATGTTGGCAACCGTCTGGAATTCATGCATGTCGCCAAGGGCAGATGACATGGAAATATGTTTTTTTTCAGGGGGGGGCTACACCCTCCGCACCCCTGCACTTCTCTCCCGCCTGAACTTTTCAGTTTACTATTATTTTTTTCCAGCTCAATGATGAGCGGTTGAGCTGTCTTGTTCAACCTTTTTGTTTATGGATCTCTCTCTCTCTCTCTCTCTCTCTCTCTCTCTCTCTCTCTCTCTCTCTCTCTCTCTCTCTCTCTCACACACCCCCCCCCCCCCCCCCACACACACACACACCACGTGTTGCTCATTAAAGCACCACACTCCCACATGCTTTTTAAGTTTTTTTTCCTTNTTTTTAAGTTTTTTTTCCTTTCTGATGATCCTTCCGCAGGTTCACCTACAGAAACCTTGTTACAAATTCTCCTTCCTCAACGGTAACGTTCAATGAACTTCATGCTATTTTAACGAACCGACTTTTTTCCGAGCCTGGCCCACTGAACCAGAAGAATGTGGGCTATTTGGAGCAGCAGGGAGACAAATTTGGGTTCTCTTTTGATGCCAACAACTTTTTTGCCACCATTTTGGTGTCATGTTTTTAATATTTTTCTCGCAAGAGCAGTACTCAATCTATGACCCTGATTCTTTTCAGATTCCTTTGCCGAATCGAATGGATTTCACTGCTGCAGTCCTGGTCCCAGTACAAGTTCCAGACCAGTCCCAGTTCAAAGTCCCATTGCCAGTCTCAGTCAATTGTAGAAAATTCATGACTGCCTAGGTAGGATAGCTTTAAGTAGACCATAGCCGTATTCGCTCTATTTGCAGGATTCTACTATTGGTGTCGTGGTAGGAAGTCACCGTGGTAGGAAGTTCCTGGTAATAGCAGTTACGGTAAGGAAAGAGCAGTAGCAGTCGTTAGGCCAGCTGTCAATCAGTCGAGTCAGCACCAAAGCCCCAGGAAAGTTCACAAACTTTCAAAAGCAACAAACAAAGGCACGGCAGTGGACACATAACTTGTAGCTGCCGTCTGGAAGGCGAATTGCCGAGTACAAGCCCATCTGGGAAGCAGTCGACACATATTCACTTGATGGCTCAGGCGGAAGCACTGCTGCGCTATTTTGGGATACTGAGGAGTGCGCTGCGTGGAGATATTGCGACTTGTGCTATTGTGTAGATTCTGGCTGGTAGGCGCAGTCTACAGCACTGGCGCCTTTAGGGAGTAGCAATAGCCAAGTCCAGAGGGAGGTTGTAAGGGAAAGCAAACTTGAGAGATGTTCAGAGAGAGAGACTTTGGCGAGGGAGATAGAAGTGAGGCTGAGGAGGAGAGAAACAAAGTGAGGCTGAGGAGGTGTTACAAGCTGCGCCTGCACACGCAGGCCATTTTCCAGGCCCTGCGCCCTTCAGCAAAAAAGCCTAGAATTCAGCCTGAAAACAGGGGCCTACAGTCCCTGTGTCGTTTCAAACTAAAAATGGCAAGAGCCTTTTTAGCCTGAAACGAAGGGCTATTTTCGGTCGTTCCCCAGAACGACCGGCCCTGAAACTCAGGCACCAAACCAGGGTTTCGGAAACAGGCTATTCTTAGCCTGTATCCACGCCAGCCTCAGCAGATGCTGCAGCGCCAGCCCCTGGCACACTTCGGCATTGGCAAGAGCAGCCTCCTCGGCCTGGCTGGCCCTTCAGGGAGTCAGGAGGCAGGCCGTGCATTGGCAAGAGCAGCCTCCTCGGCCTGGCTGGCCCTTCAGGCAGTCAGGAGGCAGGTTGTGGATTGGCAAGAGCAGCCTCCTCGGCCTGGCTGGCCCTTCAGGCAGTCAGGAGGCAGGCCGTGGATTGGCAAGAGCAGGCCTYCTCGGCCTGGCTGGCCCGTAGGASGCAGGCCGTGGAAGTATACAGGTACCCCCCCAGGCACTTCACGATTCATTCAGGAGTTGTAGTCTTCAGGATTCGGGAGCAGCACTCTGGAGGGAGCACTRGAGTGTAGTAGTAGTAGCGTTAGCTTGTAGTCTTCAGCGCTGGGCGCAGTAGGTAGCTGTAGTCTCCAGCGCTGGGCGCCATAGCTAGGTAGTACT